CGGGTCGCGCCCGCGAATGGGGAATCGCCGTATGGAGATCGCGGGCTTCCTGCTGTGCTACTTTTGCGGATTTTAGCCAGGAGATGGCGAAGCTGTTCGACCGGTCTGCCCAGGGGGATGAGGCGGCGGCTCAGCTGTCTCGGTTGTCGCAGAGGAGGTGCTCAATCACCGACTATGCCATTCAGTTTCAGACTCTAGCTGCGGCTTGTGGCTGGAATGAGGGCGCGCTATGCGCGCGATTTCTCGAGGGACTGGATGAGGTAATCGCTGACGAATTAGCGGCGGTGGACCTTCCTCGAGAGCTGGACAGTTTGATCAATCTCGCGCTCCGCGTGAAGGGTCGCCTCAACCGCCGCCGGCAACGCCGTCAATCCCCTACTCCGTGGCGCCACCTGGAGTCCACGTCAGTCGATGCGGCGAGTTCACCGGCTTCCAATGTGGAGCCCATGCAACTGGGTCATCTCCGGCTTACGCCGCAGCAGAGACAGGAGCGTTTAGCTCAGGGACTATGCCTGTACTGCGGCAAGGCCGGCCACTTTGTCCTCCAGTGCCCGGTAAAAGTCAGGGCCCACCAGTGAAACGGAGATTCCTGGTGGGCGCCTTTCCCTGTTCAAACTCTCCAACAACGCACACCCAGCTGCCCTTTCGACTCTCCTTCCTGGGAGGTTCACACACGGGCCACGCCCTTCTGGATTCAGGGGCTGAGGGGAATTTCCTGGATTCTGCCTCTGCTCACAAGTGGGGGATTCCGACCATTCCCCTGGATAAGCCCATTACGGCGTGGTCATTGTCGGGCAATCCTCTCACTACCATCACTCACGTCACCCCTTGTGTAAGCCTTTCCCTCTCTGGTAATGCCGCTGTTGCGGCTTGTTCCTGCCGCTGCTCTCCCCCCCTCGGTGTGGTTGGGGTTTCCACGACCACTTGAACTGTCCGCGAAGGCGCTTACTGCCCGCGGTGATAATCTCTGCATAATAAAGCACCTGTTGAACCCGCACCTGAATCCAGCCTCGTTGTTACCCTAACACATAGTAAAATCATCGTTAATTTTCGTGCAACAGGGTG